GGCGATCAGGGGGTTTGGGCGCTGTCCCCTGTCATGCTGATCCCGGTGCCGGGAGCCTCGCTGCTCCGCTGATCCCGGTGCTGGGAGGCATATTACCCTTTTACTATATAGGATAGAGGCCTGGTGCATGGGTAGGGGCTGGCTGGTTTGCCCTGAAGGGTGTCCTGGATCAGGGTGGGGGTCCCCACTGGGGTGCCTGGCCAGTCTGGGTGAGGGGCTGAGGGCTGTTTTCCGGCTGGCGAGTGACTAAAGCTTCCAACCGCTCCTTGTTTTCTTCTCTTTTTTTTTTTTTTTTCTGGGCCAGCTTTAGCTCTGAGGCCTCGCTGCTGAAAACATAGATACAATGTTGAGGTCTGAGCCCGGCTGAATGGAAGCCCTTTTCTGGGGTTTTGTTTAGCTTCTTATTTGCAACATAGTATATAGTTGCTTAGAGTTGCAACTGAGAGGCCGGCAAGTGAGGCGGTGAACGTTGGAGTCTGCAGCAAGCAAGCCTCCCTGCTCGCTTCAGTGCCTGGCTGCCGGCTGCCATCTTGGCTGACAGTTAATTTGCATATACTCACTGATTAGCCAATGAAAAGGGTAGCGGTCGTACGCTAATTACCATGTTTCTCTTTTATTAGTGTAGATAGGTGTGGGCAAAAGTGGGTTTACAGTTGTGAGTATATAACAGTTTATTCTTGTATTATTATTTATTATTGTATTTTCCATACAAACAATTGTAAACTGACTTTTGCCCACTCCTGTTTGTATGTGTGTGTATATATATGTACATATACATGTGTATATATACATGTATACATATGCATACACACATACATACACATAAATATACACATACATGCACATATACATATATATCTCTATTTGATGGAGAGCAGCAGTCATGGGTTAGCTGAGTGCTAGGGGAACACTGAGCAATAGAGAAAAGGTGGTAGTTGATGCCTAAAAATGTCCTCTATCCAATTTTTCCAACATTGAAAAGACGCTATAGACAAAGTTCCTGTTACCTGCCTCTGGGTAGCCTCTCTTTCCTGCCTTTGCAGAATTCCCCTGGGAGGAGAAAGTAAAGACGCACAAGCGAGAAATGGGTCCCAATGCACAGTGGCGTAGGACGGAGGAACAAGTGTTCAGTCGTCTCCCTTAAATGCTACTTCCTTTCAGGGTACAAGGTGTGTGCGACATATAGCAGATGTTCATCAATTATGAGACGAATCCTTTTTTAACAAAAGCAATCTCTAAGTCCCAACTCGAATTCAGTACAATCAGTTAAACAGACAGTTTTTTTTAAAGAGTTTGGCACCACTCCACTCCTTCCTTTCCCTTCCACCGATGCTGGTTGGCTTCACCTGTCTCTATTCCCTAGTTTCTTGTTCTTATTCTCTTATTTCTTACTCTCCGAAGTTCCAAAGTTTGGGGCCAAGTCAGTTCACACCAACCTTCCAACCTGCCTATGAAATCTATCCATTAATTTGTTTAGTTCTTTCTAGTCTTATTTCCTCTTTCTAAATTTGTTTCATCCTATTATGTGTGTGTTTTTTTAAATAAAATACCTTAAAAACCTTTCTGAAAAAGAGAGGCAGAGTATAAATTCATAACACGTAAAACGAGATCTCCCATCTCAGGTCCAGCTCACTACTCAGGAAACTTCCCATTTGGTGCCATAACCAATTGTACAGACTGAAGAAACAGCAATGTGCCTGCCACATCCCATGTTAAATGCCCTCTGCAAGATACAAAACTTCAGCTTACTTGGTGACTTCCTTGTGTGCTTCCTGCTGCTCGAGACTTTAAAGTCTGGATTTTCTCAAAGACCAAGTTGACTTTCCTTTTGGTGGCATCATCATTATCGGTGCTTCTGGAAAAGAGGCAAAGGAAAAACAACAGTGAGGGGCAACCACTGGCCCCAGAATATTTTATGTGCCCTGACACACAGGCAAGCCCTTTAAGAAGACAAACTGCAAGAGGCATGATTTTTTTTTTGATTTTTTTTTTTACAAAACCAGTGTTAAAAGAGCAGGGTGGATGGTGTATTTTTTCGTCAAATAAATTGTCCTATGTTACCATTCAATTTGAGACAGGGGTTCCCACTTTCAAACATGAAAGAGACATAGCAACATTCTAAATGAGCTTGGAGAACACATCCAGTGAAAATGTAGTAATTTGCTGTTTGATTCAAATGAATTACATTCATTCCAACAAGGGATTTTTTCCTCTGTGTGTGTCTCACACGCACATACGTTTTTACCTTTAAATCTTATGCTTAAGAATGATCCGCAGTGATCTTAACTTGGTCAGCCTATGTCTAAAGAACAAATCCCCAAGCTAAGACTGTCAACACAGCAGCCCTCTGTCTAGACTTTGACAGGTAATGATTGGCTGAAGTCTTATTAACCTCAACCACATCTTCTATCACACATACCTGACAATTAGGGGGGAAAAAATAGTTTTTTAATAAGTTTCCTTAAATAGGTGCCTCCCATTAAAGTCTGTCTCAAATCATGAACCAAAAAAAAAAAAAAATTTAGAGAATTTTAAAAATCAAAAGTTCTTCTACTTTAACCTTCACATGGTAAAAACCCTTCACAGCGAGGCACTAATAACTTAGCTAGAAGAATAGAAGTATCTCTTTGGTTACTGTTGTTTTTTAATTCCAAAAGAGCCCTTATCTTATAGTTTGAACCTGACCACTTTGTCAGGTCTACTATTACTGACAAATAATTGTAAGGCTCAATACAAAAAAAAAAACCACACAGTGTTTTGATACCAGTGAGTATTTGCCACGTGACTTCCAGTCAGGTCAGACTGTAACGCTTTTTCTCTTTTTAATCACATCTGATGAGAGAACTGAAACAGGAACCTCGAATTCCTGACCTGGAATTCCAGCGCCATCGGTATCTGAGGAAGGAGTGAAACCAGATTACGCACTCAGCCTCCAAGATAAGTATGTGGCGAGCACTGCTTTTAAGTGACTCATACGTGCTTTAAAAATACTGGAAGCAGGGGCTCCTGGCCAATGTCAACTCTGGGGAGGGAAGGAGGTGTTTTTATTTGTAACTTCTAATAAGGGGTGATTGGAACTAAGGTGACCAGCAGACTTCATTCAAAACTGGACAACAGACATCCTTGCTGTCTTTTGTTTTTTAACAACAAATTCAGTATAGTCATTTTTTAAAATACATTCAATTTTTAAAGTACAATATCATTCCCTATACTCCCCTTGCCTGATCTTCACTTCCCACCACACAAGATTTAAATGAATGCTGTTGTGAAAACTCCAGCCATTGAATCTTAACCCTCCAATGGCTCACACAGGGCGGCGAGGGAGGGGGCAAAGCAGAAGGTCCCAGAAAAGGAAATGAAGAGCCCCACAGAAATGACAGTATTTTGCTCCTTTAAGGAAAAGCACTGACCCTTCCTTGAGGTAATTGTAGAGGATCTGCTTGGCCGTCTCCTCGTTGGTTTGCTGCGTGAGCTCCTGCTGGCCTTTCAACAGGTCCGGCGTGGCCTGGAACAGAGGGCGTCATTAGATCCCTGGAGACTGAGACGGTGTTTCCAGGCAGGAGGCGAAACCCGGAAGCAGGAGCTTCCAAACACATTCCTACTTTCCAAAAATGATTCCTCAGGTAAGGATCCTCATTACAGCTGGCTCTACCACTTGGTAGGTAGCTCTGTAACCTGGAGCAAGTTACTTAACTTCCTCACCTCAATTTTCTCACCTGTAAATTGAGGTTAATAGGACTTGCCTTCACAGAGTTGGTGCCCATCCTATAACATATAACAAATAGTGCCTGACACTTACTAACCTTATTGTCATTTTTATCATTATCATTAACGTTTTTATTGTGTCTAGCAAAACACTAAATGTACCACTTAAATAAATTCCATCACTAGGGTTAAGCTTAAATTAGGATTAACCTACTTTCTCAGGCCAGAAATTAGCCCAGTCACTCAAATTCATGAGAATAATTAACACATCTACACAAAGGTAAGCACCCAACCTCTGTGTGGAAACACATTCCACCTACTTTCTGATTTCACATCTATACAAAAGGTAAAGGCGAACCTCTCTATAGTGTTTAACAAATTACTTTATAGACAAGACCCCAGTGGAAATCTAACTGTACTTGAATTAACTTAGAAAACCATACAATCAGCAGCAGGACATATCTTTAGGAAAAACTTTTTAAAATCCACGTGTGCCCTGGCCCTTGTGGCTCAGTTAATTGATGCACTGAAAGGTTGCCTGTTCCATTCCCGGTCAGGGCACATGGCCGGGTTTCCTGTCACATCCCATCGATGTTTCTCTCTCTCTCTCCCCCTCCCCTTTCTCTCTCTCTAAAATACAATGCAAAATATTTTTTTAAAAATCTATGTGCAGACTGGGAAAAATGGCGACCAGCAGGAAGGTAGGGAGGGAGAGAGTGTGAGAGTGCAAGGAAGTGATAGAGGAGTGTGTGGACGTGTGTGGTGACCTGGGTATTTGAGGTGGACGCAAATGTCTTCACAGAAATCTTCTTGGCACCAGAGTCAGGCGACGCCGCTCGCCCGCGGTTCTGTAACATCAGCGTAGCAGTGGCCGTTTTGATTTCCTCCTCCTTTTTCTGCGCTGGGAGGGAGGATGCACGCGCCGGGGTACTTTCCTGGCCACCTTTGCTTTCCAGAGCTTTCCCATCTCTGCTCTGCTGGGGAGGCCTGGGGGGGGCCCCCTGCGGCTTGGCGGAGGCGTGCCCCGAGCTCTGTCTCCCGCGGGGGTGCTCCGGGGCCTGCGGCCGCTGCGGACACACCTGTGAGGGGCGCAGGAGGTGCTCGCTGGACTTGCCCAGGTTCCTGCTGAACTCGGTCAGGTACTCCGAGTTCCCCTGGAGGCCGAAGGGAAAGGCGCTGTCCACGCTCCGGGACCTCTTCCTGTCTTCGGGGTGGATTCTGTTTCGCCTCCCAGACCTGCCCCTTCTCTGCAGCCCAGGTTTTTGGTCGAATTTTTCGATCAACTGATCCACGCCCGGCATCGATCCCGTATCGATATCCCGCCCGGTTCCTGGCAAGAAAGGGATATACCTTCTGTTTTCATGCCGATTCACATTGTCAGCGTGGAGGGCACATTCCTGGTCGTCCAGTAAAAAGCGGTACAAGGAGTTGGCCGAGGTGGGCGTCGTGGACGTGGAGGAGGACCTCCGGGAGCGCGCTCCGTCCAGGACGGCACCCGCGGAGTCTTGGCGCCGGAAGGGAAGCACATCCGGCCTGGTTTTCTTGGCTTCGGAGTGGG